TTGTGTCTTTGCAGGAACACGGATGAATCTGGAAACCATCATTCTCAGCAAACTGACACAAGAACAGAAAATCAAACACTGCATGTTCTCACTCATAGGTGGGTGTTGAATAATGAGAACACGTGGACACAGGGAGGGAAGCACCACACACTGGGGTCTGTTGGGGGAGCCAAGGGAGGGACACTGGTGGCAGGGAGGTCAGGGAGGGTTAACATGGGGGGAAATGCCAGATGTAGGTGATGGAGGGATGGAGGCAGCAAGCCACATTGCCATGTGTGTACCTATGCAACAATCCTGCATGATCTGCACATGTACCCCAGAACCTAAAGTATAATTTTTTTAAAAAAATTTGATGAACATAACAATTTATTGATGGCAATAGGATCAAAGATTCTATATGCAAGCCATTTATTTGTTTTTATTTTATTTTATTTTACACTCTTTCTCTGAGTAAGTCAAAATCAAAGATTATGTGGTGCACTTTTGTTATTTCCATATGTGATTACTTCTCCACTCTTTAACATCTCTTCTTACAATAAAAAAAGAACGTTGTTCTTTAGTCACATCATAACTCTTAATCTATGGGTACAAAGCACTTCTAATATATAACTATCTTGTTGGCAGTATTTAAATATGAGAGACATGCCCTTGGTGAAGACAGCATGTGCCTTACATAAAATCTATTAATATTCTTAAAGTAAGTGAATTTGAATCTTTGAAATTCATCTCAAATATATTACTTATATATCTGAACTGGTGTTTGAAATTTTGTGACTAGGCTCATTCATTCAGGCCTTCTTCAACAATTACCAATCAGATATCCACTCTTACTGAGACTTGGTATTCAGTGCTGAAGATCACGCAGAACAAGAGAAATACAGCTGCTGCATTCCTGAAACTTACATTCTAGCGGGCAGTGGGGGCATGGGAAGAGAGATGGCATACAAACTAAATCACCAAAGAAAGGTGATCCTAATTTTAATAAGCATTATTAAGAAGTGCAAAGTGCTACAGAAGCTTGTAATTAGGGCTCTTTAAGGAAATTATATTAGAGCTGAGAACTGAAGGATGGGAAATAATTTGCCAGCAGAGTAGACATTTGAGTTGGCTGTGTAGCTCACAGAACTCATTGAAAACTCTATGCTGCCACATGTGTTTTACGTGAACTCAGCTCCCAGACAGAGCTGATTAATGTGGGCATGGGCATTTCATCCAATGTGAGCCATTTTAGGGGACTAAATCTAAGAGAAGAGTATCAATGCCTTCCTGGTGGTAGAACAGTCAATACAGGAAGTGGACTCCACACATTCCTATGGCTCTGTTCTCTGAATGTGAAGACGGAAGTTGCAGGAGAAGAAAATAAAATTTATATCAGAGAGGCATGTAGATAAAGGCGTAGACAGAAAGGGAACCCAGGCAGCATTTCAGTTCTTGTTCCAGTTGTCCCCAAGGCCTGGATCACTCCTACCCATAATACAGTTACGTGAGATACTGGAGTTTGCTTCCAATTAATCTCCCTTTTCCCCAAGCTAATTGAATATGAGTTTCTGTAACTTTCAATCCAAAGCACACTAATTCACATAAGCAGGCAAAAGGGAAGAATCATATTCCAGACAGGGAAGACAACATATGTCAAGGCTCAAAGGAGACAGAAGACACTGAAAGAATCCTTCAAGACAGAAAAATCATCCAAGATGAGAGCGGTCAGGAAGGGAGAGCTGGGATCAGGTGGGGCCTTATGCGCATGTACAATAGCTGGGATTTAGCCTAGGAGCAATTTTCACATTCATCCTACTAAAGCACAAAAGGAGAAGCCAACGAGCAAACAAAGGCAACTCAATGATTGAAAAATATGCTCTTTCCAGGCATTCATTAATACGTTGGCAAATACTTTTCAGCAGAAGTGTAGCAGGGTGAGGGGCAGCAGAAGAAAGAAGCATTGACTTTCCAGAAAACATTAAAGAGTATGTTTTTCAATAATGTTCAAATAATTTTTGTTTATCACAAGTAGGGTAGGGGGCTGCTGGCATCTAATTGGTTGAAACCAGGGATGCTACCAAAATCCCCCTCCAACAGGAAGTTATCTGGCTCCAAATATCAATAGTGCCAATGTTGAGAAATCCTGCCTTAGGGTAAAAAATAATGCAGGACTATGAGACATGAATAGAAAGTAAGCAAAGGATGCAGTCTTTCCTCAGACTTGCTCTCAAAGCTGTTAAAACTTGATTTCGTCTCTGGTACACTAAAGCAGACAATTTTTTGTTCTCCAGGAACTTACAGTCTGCTGAGGAAGATGGGCAAGAAAGATATAAACAAAGCAATGCCCTACGTGCTGAGATGCAGAGATGTAGATGAGCTTGTTTTTCAGTGGGCAAACAAAGAAGGAATATCCAACCCAGTCTCAGGCTATTAGGAACACTCTCCAGTGGAGAAATGTCTTAGTTGCTACCTAAGAAGGAAGAAAGCAATTTGGACATTTCTCAAAGAATTTAAAATAGAATTACCATTTGATCCAGCAATTCCACTACTGGGCATATACCCAAAGGATTGTTCTACTGAAACGCGCGCGCACACACACACACACACACACGCACACGAATGTTTATCACAGCACTATTCACAACAGCAAAGACATGGAATCAATCTAGGTGCCCATCAACAGTGGATTGGATAAAGAAAATGTGGTACATATACACCATGGAATACTATGCAGCCTGAAAAGAATGAAATAAGGTCCTTTGCAGCAACATGGATGCAACTACAAGCCATTATCCTAGGCATATTAACACAAAAACAGAAAACTCAATACGGCATGTTCTCACAAATAGGAGCTAAACATGTGGTACACACAGACACAAAGATGGGAACAATAAACACTGCAGGGAAAGGGGGAAGGAGAAAAGAGTTGAAAAACTACCTGTCAGGTACTGTGTTCATTACTTGGGAAAAGAGATAATCAGAAGCTGAAACCAAGCAATATACCCACGTAAAAGGTCAAATCACACAATACACTCATGTAAAAAATATGCACATGTACCCTCTGAATCTAAAATAAAAGTTTAAATTTAAAAAATAACAATAAGGTATAAGAGAAGAGTCAGAATCAATATAAGAAGACTGAGAAAACAATAGCCAAGCGAAGTTGACATAGACATGGGAAAAAGATCTCAGACAGAAAGAGCCTCATAGGCAAAGATCTGGAGCCACCAAAGTGTATGGAATGTCCATGGAGCTCAGGTTCTAAGGATGTCCAGAGCAGAGAGCCCAGAAAAGGGCCAGGTTCCAGATAGTGTTGGAACAGTAAGTCCTTCCTGTCCTTAGAGGGGCAATTATTCAAAACTGAATCCAGTGCTTCAGAAGTCAAGTTAATAGAGCACAGATTTGTGACTTGGCGTATTACAAAGTGGGAAGCAGTAGCATTTTTAGGTTAATTCTGACTTAATATGCTTCAAGACTATTTTTATATTATGTACCTGATGTGCCTCAGTTCTGTATTTCACTGTGCCTGGATATTTATATCAAGAGTGTGATAAATCAGTGATAATGTTATTTGGCATGTTTCACAATCAGTCAATGTGAGTGACACATGGAAGCAAACTAGTATATTTTAAAACTTCTTAAACTCACTTTTGTTATAAGGCTGCTTGTATATTAAACATCCAATTTTGTTGTTTCTTGACAAACCTTCTTTTAATTTTATATACATATTAATTGTCAATAATATACTCTGGAACCAGAGAGCAGACAATATGCCACACAGACTCCAGGAATATAATCTCAACCGGAGAACTGCTTGAGAGATGACAGAATAAATAAGCTAGCCCAAAAATCTCAGATATAGAGAAAGACAACTTATTATGAGTTGCCAGTGAACTATCTCTGCTTCTAATGAAACTTCCAACACAATTTATTGTCTTCAGTATCTATACTTTAGAAATTGTTCAGACTTCTTTCTTTACTAGAAGGTCTTTCACTCTCTGGATATTCAAGAACTCCAGTTAAACCAAAACTTGACTATTTTCATGACCAGCCTCTGAAAGGAGCAAGGGAAAACAATGGCCTACTGCTTTTCTAGTGGCGTGGAATTCAATTTCTCTTCAACACAGTGGGAAAGTAAGGATGGTAGAAGACAGGTAGACATTTGGGAGACCAACAACAGGGTCATGAGGGACATTTAGAATTTAAGTAAGGTCACAACCAACAGTTAGATGCCAAAAATTATAGTAGTACCTGAAATCAAGGTAAAGCATGGTCAACCATCAACATAAAAGAGTCAAGATTCCAGTTATGAAAAAAAGCCTTATACTGACACAATGCCTATTCAAATTAATTCATCATAGATGTGGAGTCTTTACTTCACACAGAACACTATGCTCATCCATGTTTCCTGTTGGAGCAGGAGGCAATACTAGCAAGAGGCCAGGCAGAAGTCTGCTTGTACCAGTAGGTGAATCCCAGTATAAATGTGGTCCATGAGACTATATCCCCCATGGAAAATGTGCAATCAGAATGAGCAGAGACCTCGGCAAGGCAGTTGTATTGTCTCATGTCAAACTCTTTCTCCCTTTACTTGAACCTTGAATAACAGTGAAAATGGGACTTCTCCTCACCCACCGCCTCAAAAAAAAAAAATGGTATTTGGGAATAACCTGTCTCAAACCAACACATTTCATATGAGGCCAATTCAAAAAATTGACAGATACAAAATGAATAAAGTACCATTTATTGAAGAGACTAGACCTTATTGTGTATTCTTGACACCTCTACTGAAAATCAATAGGCTGTAAATCTGTGCTTTAATTCCTAGGATCTCTACTCTTTTCTATTGGTATATGCATCTGTTTTTATGCCAATATCATGCTGTTTTGGTTACTATATAATAATATTATATTTTAAAATCAGACACTGCAATGCCTCCAGCTTTGTTCTTTTTGCTTGGAATTTCTTGGAATACTTGGAGACTTTTGTGTTTTTGTACAAATTTCAGGATTTTTTTTTTAATTTCTGTGAAGAATGTCATTGGTATTTTGATAGAAACTGCATTGTATTATATATTTCAAAACAGCTAGAAGAGGGAATTTTTCATGTTCTCATTACAACAAAGACAAACGTATGAGGTGATGAATATGAAATCGAAACACTGATTTGATTTTTACATAGTATAGACATGTATCAAAACCTCACACTGTATCAAATAAATATGTACAATTAATCTTATGTGTCCTTAAAAAACTAAAAGGTCAACTGTCTGATAAATGGTGTATCCAAATTGGTCAAGAAAGAAGATGGAGAAAGATGGAAGACCAAATACAGCCCAGACAAACTGTCATTGAGTTCCTTGCCACTCCACTTACAGACTAGTCAGTGTCAGATAAACATTATAAGAAAAAATATAAGGGGATTCTAATGGCACTGTCTCCATAAGGGCATTTTTTGGATTTTTTTGCTTAAGATTCAAAGAGGTATAGGAAATAGTCACATTTAACACCAAATCATGCGTCTTCTCAGCCACATATATAGGTTTATTATGCACATGGAAATGAAAAAAATTGGAGAGGAAAGAAGAAAACAAAGATATGGTATAGATTTGCTGAATTAAACAGCTTCCCCCACATGACAGAACTTACTCTTTATATTAGGAAGGTCAAATGGCGAATATTAAATGCAACTAAGGGCCCTAATTCTAAAGGCAGATGTTATTTCAGATCAGCATGTTTTGATTTTTTATGTTGAACTCTGTTGTCCTTGAAAATGTCAGGAACAAATCCTCTGAAATGTCTGACATTTTCCATTTCTAAGCAATGGATTGCCTAAATCTGTATGGAGAACAAGAAGCAAAATTAAGAACCTGAGTTTATTCAGGTGAGTTTTTATAATGATCCCATTTAAAAGATTCTCACGTCAAAGTCCAATGAACTCAGTAAAATACTTCCTAGAAATCAAACTAAAGCCTACATTCTAGATCAGAACAAATCAAATGATACTAATCTTTTGAAAATCTCAAAGGCATGAAAAGCCCTAAATATTTGATGATGTTTTAATTTAATCAAAAATGAAAAAATACAAAAGAGTAACCACAGACAGAAACACAGGGACAAAATCAAGAGCTATTTAACATTGAAGTAGACATCTTTCTCTTTGAAAGACTATAAATTTCACATGTAAACTTAAACCACAGTTATTTAGTAGGACAAGCAAATCCTCTCTCTGAGAAATCCACTTACTCTTGAAATTCGCGTCTCAAATTTAGTGTATTACTGCAACTGATCATTGTATACACTTAAGAAAAGATGGGTGAGAATATTCATGGAGACATAAAGCTGGCCCACACAGGGAAAAAGAAACCTGACGTGCAGAGGGCAAGTTGAGATTAATCACTATGTGGAGAGAGACTAAGAGAATGGCTACCTCGGGTCTCAGAAAATGTTCAGTAGGCCTTTAGGCAGGAGGATTGAGACAAACTTTAGGACAAATTTACCCCCCTAAAAGCATAGGGGGAAAAGAGGACAATCATGAAAGGTTATTTCAGATGGTCCTTTCTGTATAAAACTAGAGATCTGAGACCCCAGAGCCAGATAAAGAAATTATTTCCATGTTTGCTGAATGGCTCTGCCGCATTGTTCTTAAAACAAAGCTGGTGTGCTGCTAGAGAAGCAGTGGGACTCTAGATGTCAGAAAAACTGCATTTAAGGGAAACAAAAAATCAGGCTGACCGAACAACCACAGAAAAAGCAACAGGAAAAACTCAGAACACTGTATTTACCATTTTACTCTGCTTTGGATAGTCCATACTTAGGAGAGTAATCTGTAATGCACAGAGGTAAGTTTTCAAAGGATCATAAAGGGAAAAGCCTGTTTTTGATGATTCATTGAAAGAGTTGGAATGTGAAGCCTGGAAAAAAAAAAATCTAAAAGAAGAGAAGATGAGAGTCTGCAAATATTTGAAAGTCCAGTACATACAAGAAATAGTCATATAAGCCTTGCTCTCCATTTTTCAGTTAATTGAAATTACGGGCGAGATGTTGTTACCTTCAAGTTTGGAAATAGATTCATATATACACACATAAATATGTAAACAAATTTATAAATATATAAAGATGTGAAAGAGAACTTTCCAACAAGTTCAAACAATTTCATCTCTCAAAAAACGTAGGTGAACTTGTGAAGTAGCAAGCTATGGTAACACATTCAGCTGAAGGCTGGTCAGGAGCACTGTAAATGTGAGTCATATATTTATTAGGGCTTAGTACTTAATTTCCAAGTGTCTGTCCAGTCCTGAATCTCCGAGTCAATATGGTTATTTGGGAAGAGAAAATGTACAATATCATGAAAATTATACACGCCTGGCTTATAAGAGGTAATTCTAAAAGTGTTTAATAATTTTTGCATAAATGTAGAAATGTATTTTAAAAGATGACAGTTTTGTAAATTGGTACTTTTTCATAATTAATTTAATAATTTCTGCCCCGGAACAGACAAATGAGACCCAATGAGAACTTCACATTAAACTATTTCAACATTTTAACCAATAAAAAAATATTTCAGCCTTGAGTTCAAAACTTTGACATTAAGTGGCAAAGATCTCAACTTTGAATAAGATTGATATATTTCTAAGGGGTTTTCTGAAAACTATTTCCAGGAACTTTCAACAAGACTGAAATGTGGCCAAGTATAAATTCAATATTTTAATACTCAGAACTGAATTATGTATACAGAGCCATTTGTCAAAACAGAAGAAAAAGTTTGCTTCATTATTATTGCAACAGTACACAAGAAAATATTTTCTACATATTTTCAAATGATCATTATTTCTTTGAGATACAGAAATTAATATTGCCAAGATTAAGGTCTTTGTTATTTAGGCTAAAATGGATCATTTCTATAGGAATTAGGTTTTAAAGCTCATTACACCCAAAGATTTCCATTATGATCTAATTTGAAATGAAAGTAAACAGAAATAACAATTTTGTTCTGTTAAAATAGGAAGCCACTGTACTTCAATAAAATACCACAGCAGTTATAGGAGAAGCAATAAATTGGCTAAGATGCATGACTCACGAACAATTATCAGCCATGTGAGAATTCATTATTAGTTTGTAGAAAATCATCTTTGTTTGTGAGGGATCACTAGCTGTTTTCTCAACCACAGATGGTATATTGTTGTCTGCCTTGAAAACACTCATCTGGCAGTATCACAGAACTTAAAAGTATACAGACAATGTGTATCTGTATGTTAATATAATGCAAACCAATTATCCAAAATTAAAGAAATTTACCATCATGTGGAGTTCAGGACCAGCTACAGAATGATGTCTAGGTCACAAGAGATTTAACATGCTGAAATGTTCTGCTTGAACTGGTAACTGTGGGTTCCTGGAAAAACAGTTAGCAGAGAACAAACAACAAAGGTATTTCATAAAGATAATAAGGTTGAATGAAAAACTCCGAGACGTTTTCAAGGCAATTCGCTGAGATGGTGTTATAAATCTCTGGTGCTTGAGAAGGTTCCAGCCTAATCATGCCCGTAGCAGTTGTAGCACTGGTAGAAATACAGGCTTTTATTATGACACAGGCCATCCAATGAGACTATTGAACTTTAAATTACTCTTAGTAGTTTTAATGAGGTTCCCTTGTTTTGATATATTCAATCAGAGATACAGTCTCTAGAAAAAAAAAAGGAAATGCACACAGAGACTCCAAATATACTCAAGTGCTTGGTCACCCCCAAGTTCTGGTCTCCAACACACCAAGCCAAGGCTTTTCATTGCCTTGCGGCATGAGGACAAGTGCCACAGTTACCTTGAAACATTGCATCATGGACTACTGTGGCTTCAGGATCAAACCTTGATTTCTTAACAAGAACAGGATCTTTAGCACAGAAGCTTGCCCCATGAAGAGCTGGTATTAGGTCTTTGAGGGAATTTCAGATTTGAGACATTTTTTAAATCCCCTAGAGGTATGCATGGTAGGTTAGTATTCTTCTGGGGTAATTACCCATTTTCCAAAGAGACTATCTCAGCATTTGGATTTATAGTCACATATTTTAAAGTTCCCCAATGTGTTTAGAGGCATAAGCAACTATTTGATAACTCTAAAGTCTAAGCATTTTGTCACTAGCACTCATATAAATGATCTACAAAATAAGGTTGTACAAGAATATAAAATGTCCAAACATACCATATGGAAAGAGTTCAAAATATTCCTACTTATAGAATAGAAAAATGGCTTCCTAATCCAATATTTTAAGACCATAATTCCTTCACTAACACTACAAGGGAATAGTTGTGTTTAGCCACAGAATTCATTTTATAAAATAAGCTTTTATTCTGCTTTGCACAATGGTATTTAAAGTCCTATAGGTCTATGTTTTGAAATAAAAATACAATATTTTGAGCCAAGATTTGGAATCCTGACCCACTTTGAAGTATAAAACTTTAGCTAAAGACCAGCGAAAGTTGATCTGGAAAAATGGGGATTCTAGAACTGATCAATAGTAATATCCTAGAGCATCTTCATAGGTGCTGTCACTGTATGTCTGGTATACCAGATGGATAGACTTTTTCTATACTTATTAAGACATTAGAAATATTGTTGTTGCAACTGGACAGCCCATATTCCTCAGCATGCTTTCTTCAAGCTATTAAGATGTTGGGCTCCTTTTTTTCTTCTGAGCAAACAGATATTCAACAGGATTTTCTAAATGATTAGATTTGAATTCAAAAATATCTAACTAAAATGAGTGATAATCATTCTAGTACTTCTACCAAAGTGATATAGCATTATCACTAACAAGACAGTTTCTTGTTTATGACTTCTTTAGGAAGCATACTCCGATAAAATAAGACTACAATCCCAACATAGATTCAAGTTAGAAAATCTTTACCATTTTTAAATGCTTCCATAATATAAAGGTTAGCTTGATTAAAACTATTGTCTTTGTTTACATAACTTAAACATTATTTCAATTAAAATAAAAACTTGCTTTGTGATTAAATAAAAACTATAATTGTATCCACAAACAACTGCCTACCCAAGGAGAGCTCTGAAAATAATAGGCACATTTTGGCAGAGGTATTTAATTTCCTCTAACAAAAAATAAAGATTTCAGTATCTGTGATGTTAGTGTAGCAAAAGTTCTGCAGTTTCAAAATTCACACTATTCCTCCAAAGAAAGTGAAAACTTGACTTCATCTCCCAGGAGTATTTAATTAAACGTGTTACTTTGTGATCACCGCTTGCAGTCTTCCTTTCCTCCTTACTTGCCACGCAGATTTCTCAGTCCTCTCTTAACTGCCTTCCAACCAACTACACTTTCCTTCCCATACAAGTCTTTTACTTATCTGCTACGCACGAGCCATCTCTTACTTTCACTGACTCACTTGGGCTGATGCATATTTATGCGCTCTCTAGTAATTTTACTTTTGTTCAATGTTAAGAAGGACTTTTCTGCCTTATTCTTCTGCCGTTATGATTACATACATGTGCACAAGTTTTGTCCCTCTCTGTGAATAGATAACAGTTTATTAAATACTCACTATGCTCACAATTTTATTAAACAAACGTGTTTTTCCTTAGTTGAGGATTCCTTGGGAGCATACTAATGTATTCATTTTGATAATCTCTTGGTACTTAAGTATTATCTGGTACAAATAAACGATCAACATGTATTTGTTGAAGGAATGAATAAATGATAAATAAATTACTGGGAAACAAAATGTTTGGAAGAAAAGAAACCCATAAGAATTTGATATTACTTCTGAAATTTAACTGTCCTCGATGTTGGTGATGTATACATTACTCTGAGAAACCCAGTACATGAAAAATGTATAAGAGAATTATGTTAGGATATAATAATTTGCATGTCAACATGATTGACCGAAAAGAAGTGAATTTTCCTCAATTCAAATGAAATTTCTTACAAAAGTTTGTCTAATATAAATTTTAGGAAAGGAAAAAAAATTTAAAGCAAAGTGTGTCACCTATCTTTGACCCAAAAGTCTGCAAAGCATGATCAGTATTTGCCACAGTGTTTCATAACAGTGTTAGAGCTGTATGTCTTTGTCAGGGAAAAAGAGCAACAGTAAACGTGCTTTTACTTAAGTAATGTCTGCTTTGAGATAAGGTATTTGTAGAGTTAGAAAATAACACATAGACTCTAACTCCTATACAAATAACCCGATAACTTATTAAAATGGCATGCCAACATGTTTCCTTCCTGAATTCTCTATTAGTTTGGTTGTCACTTTATTTACAGTTGATTTTCATTTCTCTGTAAAACTCCAATGTAATTTGTTTCAAATCAGGAGCAATTAATTCAATTGATTGATTTTCTGAATATTAACCTTCCAGTGAGCTAGTTATAACTTGAAAATGCATTGTAAAACAGCTTGATTTTTTTCTACTAACAGGTGACACTGTGATTCCTCAAAATACTCCTACAGATACACATTTGCAAATGCAGACGAACTGCATGTATGGGCAAGAATTAGGAGCTGGTTATTGTATGTATGATATCACATTTCAAAAGAGCAAAACAAGTCCCCAGTATGACTCACACTTTAATTTTATTTCCCAGGAAACATCTTTGAAAGTTTCAGTATTTATAAAAGTATTATCAGCAAAATTAAAAATGTATGTATAGCAGAAAAAACACCAATACAATCTTACAATTTATAGTAGGTACTGTCAAAGGATTTTCATATGCATTATCACTTTAGATCTTTATACCAATCCAGTACAGAAAAAAGAGCACCTACTATACTTGTTTTACAAGTAAACTAAAATGTTCAGAGGTAGTATGTTTCACCCAAGTGCATTCAACTCAAGCCCTAAACACTTTTGACTTTAAGTTTTCTTCTAGTCTTTGAATCTGTTTATCCTACAAACACAGTTTTCTGCACTCATAATGAACTTATAAACTTTATTTAGGGAAGTAGACATGTTCGTGATGAGTGATCATCTAAGCACTCATTTTGCTTGGTAAATTTAATTCCCTGCCTAGTGTCCTGCTTATTTATTTTCATAATATCCAAATATCATGGCTAGACTTAAATTACTAAGTACATAACTTTCTATTACACAGATACTCAAGATATTCGTGACACAGAAAAGAAACAATGTGAAAAACTAGAAACTATAGGAGATACTTAAATTATCTTCCAGTGGTCATATTATTATGAGAATTGGCAAATAGTATGTTTTAGTGACTTGATAATGAAGGTGTTCACAGAGCCAAGTCTAGAAACCTGGCGTGATTGAATAAAAATTTAGGTACTTTAGAAGGTCAACATCTTTCTTTTTCATATGATGTTTGTGAAAAACATATGGATAAAGGAATATAAGACATACTAAATGAATTTTCCCTCAAATATGTCGCTATGTGAATTCTTTAAAACACAGATTGTTGATCTAGTAGATTATATTAGTTTCTCCAAGTCCTTAAGATCTGTTAAATCTATATGCTGTTAGGACTTATATAAATTATCATTAATGACAAAAAAAATAGTGCTATGAAATCGCTGTCATAATAACAAGAACTGACTAACTCTAGGTCATGCATTTTCAACAGAGGTGATATCATCCCCAAAAGGGTGAGAATTGGTTCATAGGAAGTGAAAAAAATCTTACTCTCTATAAATCACAGATATACATATAGCACATAAACTGATATACAGTATACCTGTGGTATTAAAATTTTAAGGGAGAGGGATCAGTTAGGAAAAAAAGGTCTAAAGAAGCTCCTTAGAGGGAAAAAATGAAAAAGAAAAGATTGACAAGCACTTCTATAAGTAAATATGTATTAGCAAGCTACTCCAAGTTAAATAATTCAATAATTTTTTTTACTTCCTTTAATTTAAGGGGATGATCAGTCATTATAGTATGTTAAACATATTATCTTAAGTTATGGAATGCTTATTGATATCTGTACAGTACCCACTATATACCTGAAAATAAATAAATACTCTTCAATTAATAAATTCTGCATAGTCAAAAGAGAGTAATGTGTTATGGTTTTCAGCTCTTTTGTTAAAGCATACAACTATGCAATAATGGTATAACTTCATTCAATGACTATAAACTCACCAACACCAACACCAGTAAATCTATATTTTATTTTCCTCATAGTAGACTGGATCTACTTTGAGATTTTATTTTTAAAAATTCTTGAATCATCTAGCATAAACAAAGATGAAAGAGGAATTACAGCAAAAGATTATTCATTTCATAGACCAAATTTTTAAAGTATGCAATATTTTAACCCCAAATATATTATAAACTAAAAAGAAAATATAAACCTTTAAAAATACACAGAGAAGAGATTTCTTAAATATAATGGTAGAAAGCTTTTAAAAGCCAACATTATTCTTAATGCTGGAACACCAGCACTATCAACTTAAAATAGAAAAAAAACCAAGGATATCTGCTACCACGATTTACTTCTTAAACTCTTCTGTAACCTTTGTTCAACATTTTGAAATACGAAATCTAAACTTAAGCATACTTAAAGAAAAAGACCATATCATAATTATATTTACTCTAGATACTGTTAGGAACAGGAGATATTGAACATGAAAGACATGACTCTAACCTCAGCTTACAGTAAAGTGAGAAAAATAAGCATTAACAAATAATTATACAAATAATTAGTTACAATTGTGATAACAGATGTAAAGAGTGCAAGGTGCCATGGGACCATATAACAGGGAAACTAACCTAGAATGACAGGAAAGGATTTCTAGGGGAGATAATAGCCATGAATAATGGCCTGAAGTTAGTTAGACAAATAGAGCAATAAAATGCGAAAAGCAAACAGAGGGAAATGTGGCATAAGGGGACATAGTGCCTTCAAGAAATGGAAAAAAAACAAAGAATCATCATCATCATCATCATCATCATCATCAACTCTGGATCATTCTGAGTAAGGGAGAGGTGCCCAAAGGAGGGAACAGGAACAAATCATGCAGGGCTTTGTCAACCATGTTACAAGTTTTAAATTTAAGAGTTCCACCTAGAGAAATAAAATTATCAAATGTTTATTTTTAAAAGTTCACTTTTGCACCTATGTGGACGCTGGATTAGAGTCAGGACATTTTGGATAAGAAAAGAGTTGCAACAGTTCAGAGAAAATAAAGGCCACGGAGATGGGGAACGAGGGTCAAATTTGAGAGATGACTAGGAATTAAAAGAAACTGGATTTCACAATTGACTAGATGGCAAGAGGTGTCAGAAATGATTCCAAAGCCTGGCTTGTGCAACAGAGAACAGAGTAAGTGAGCTGTGGACAGGGAAACATGGGGCTGAGAATGCTTTCTGAACCTTCAGAATTAAACAGCAGCTGCTCTGAGAGAGCAAACACAAAACCAGAAGGATAATGGCATTATTCTTTGACTTCACGGCAGCAAAATCCAGGGGTAGGAATGTCTTCAGTACCTGGAAGGAAGCCTTACCAATTCCAAAATTAAATACACATGTTTGGTGCCTGTCAAAGCAACTCCCATAAAAACTAAGAGGAAATCAGGCAGAGAAGTTGTTCCCTAGTGGAGCTAGCTACAGCTTTAGAATGTACAATTTATATGTTGAGAGCAGAATTCTAACAGGATATACATGGGGAAGGAAAATTCAAGTCCCACCCATCCAGTTTGGGACAAATAATAGGAAAGGATGAGAAAAATAGGAAGAAAAATCAAGGCTTGTAGAAAGATATTGTTAAATGAGAGGAAGATACAGTATTCTAAAAGCAATAGCATAGCATTATTTTAAAATATACTACAAGAGAGTGAGAGGAAAGAAATACAAGTTAAAGGGTACAAACCTTTAGCTGTAGGAAGAATAAGTACTGCAGACCTAACATACAGGATAGTGACTATAGTTAATAATATATTGTACACTTGAAATTTGCTAAGAGAGTAGCTGTCAAGTGTGCTTACCATACAGGAAAATGGTAACCATGTGAGACAATGGATATGTTAATCAGCTGGAATGTGGTAATCATTTCATAATGTATACATACATCAAAACATTACATTGTGTGCCTTAAATATATGCAATTTTTATTCAATCATTAAGAAATATGAAATAATTAAAAATACTATAAGAGGCAAAAATAAACTTTACAAAGCTTCTGCTTTGTACTTCCAATAGTTCAGGAAACATGAACCTGATCAAAGATCAAATCAATATTGAGGGATGTGTTACAATAGCAGAGTGTGAATTAAAATATGAAGTTGGGAAATGTGGCACATAGACACCATGGAATACTATGCAGCCATAAAAAATAATGAGTTCATGTCCTTTGTAGAGACATAGGTGGATCTAGAAACCATCATTCTCAGCAAACTGACACAAGAACAGAAAACCAAATATGGCATGTTTTCACTTATAGGCAGGTGATGAACAATGAGAACACTTGGGCACAGGGAAGGGAACAACACTCACAGGGCTAGGTGGGGGAGTGGAGAGGAGGGGAGTGGTGGGAGGGGAGAGACAGTAAGGCAGGTGGGGAGGATGGGGAGGAATAACACCGGGAGGAATGTCTGATGTAGGCGACAGCGGGTGGGGGATGGAGACAGCAAACCACCATGGCATGTATGCACCTATGTAACAATCCTGCAGGATGCAGGATGTGCACATGTACCCAAGAGCCCAAATAAAACAAACAAGAAAAAAGAAAAAAATATGAAGTTGGAAAAGAGATACATGGAAATAAGAGAGAGTGACAAGGTAAGGAAAAGTATAAGAAAAATTTTAAAAACAGCTAAATTTAAAACACTATTAGTGTTTTAATTTATGATGGATTGAAAAAATGGATTTAAGTAGGAGGCAATGGCAACAAAACTTTGAAACTTACTGGACTCAAGAAAGCAGAATCTCTAGACTGGTAGCCCAGAACGGTCAAAAGAATGGGGAAACTGAAAGCATCATGTTCATCCTGGAAGGGGTGAAGGGTGAGGACAATAAGTGGGAGCATTTGAAAGCTGTTTGAGAGGTAATTACATCTCTAGTTACTCTCCATCAGTCCACATCAGTGTGTGGCTGCCCATCCACCAACCTGGCAGCAAGTTGAAAGTTTTTTGTTTGATTGGAGGGTTTTTCTATTTTGTTTTTTAAGAGAGACAGAGTTATCCTCTGAACTGGGAATCACAAGACAGAGTAGAGGGTGTGTAGGCACCATACTGAAAACAAGGTAAGTGAATAAGCTACAGAATGCTGAACGTGTAACACACTCCCACCCTAACTGCTTTCACCTCTCAACTTTCCAACATCTTAAGCCAAAAGTGAGCTTCTTATGTAAAAAATCTGAACAGTCTAAAAGAGAAAACCTAAATGTATTAACACTAGTGGTTCTCCAACAAAAGACCTACTGCATTATTTTACATTGAGTCTCGATTTTTCAAGCCCCACGAACATACTCAAAGCTTTCAGAGTAGATAGTTTGGAATTATCAATTATTTGAAGAAAGCTTCTAGTATAGAAGATAGAAACCAAAATAGCAAAGTCAGCACAAAATCTTAGGAGAGACTATGCAATAAGAAATAATTTAAAATGGAGGACATGAGATTTTTTTAAAAATAAAGTACACTTAGAAATTAAAAGTACAAGAAGAAGATGTAAAATTTTGCACAGGTTTGATCAATAAAGAAATCTCCCCCAAAAATTTATAGCAAAAAGATAGAAATGAAGGCAGGAGAGAAAACAACACTACTAGAAGACAAGTTTAAGAGATCAAACAACCTAACAATAGGACATCCAGAAACAGAGAGGGGAGAAAATCCTCAATTAAATAATTCAATAAATATTTTCACTGCTGGCATATATGATTTGCCAGACAAAAGGGTACAAAAATGCACAGCTCTGCAGTTAATGATAATGGATCTTTACCACAATATACATCATTTTGAAATTGCAGAAGAGAGAGGGAAGAGGGAAAAAAGGTCACAAACAAAAGATAAACATTACAAATAAGAATTATCTCACACTTTTAATCAGCAACAACACTACAGTGAGAAAATAATGGACAAATATCTTCAAATTTCTACAGGTAATTATTCCCTCCATATATTTGTATACCCAGCCAAACTATCATTTAAATATGGGGTACAATAAAGATATATTAGACAAGCACAGTTTTAAAAAATAAATTTCTTATTTATGTTTTTCCTCAAGAAACAGCTAAATGATACACTTCACCAAAATGAAACAGCAAACTAAAAAATGCTGAAGATGTATAAGACCCAGGAAATGTATCATCATATGTAAGAGATGGGAGGAGGTAATTGTCAGGATGATAGTGAAGAGATATCCCAGGATGAAGTATATATACCAGACGCAGAGGAAAACCAATCCAGACAGGAGCAGTGGCTCAACAGGGCAGACACACTGAGGGCTGTTCTTAAAAAAAAATGCCTGCCATCCTTGTGCTGTCTTTTTAACCTAAAAGAGATGCTTAGGTGAATCTGGCGCAGATTCTTGTCTCAGTTTGTCTTGGCAATAAGCTGATACATTTTTGCTTTCTCTCCTTCTATTTTCCCCTAAGGTTATTCTGCCTGACTCAGCTGAGAACACTCAATTCAGTCATAGAAAGTATGTTGCATCCACCTACTTTTAAGAGCTGGAAGTATGTCTTAATGAGCTTAGAAACATAAAATGCTGAGTATTTTATTCTCTATAGCCACATTACTGCTGGACATCCACAACCTGAACTAGGCTACTACCTTTACACGTCCTGACTGTAGCCACCCTGTTTCATACATCGGCTTACCTATTAAGCTCTCCCAAAGAATCTTAAACTATTAAGGAAGCTGAAGTCAAATTTGGATCCAGAACAACAGGAGTGGGAGAAAAGAGATAGCTAGCTTTCTATGAAATGAACTTAAAATATGCTCTTTATTTAACATGTATATTTATATTTCATTTAAGAGTATATTATCATTTAGCTAATTTTTTCTTTAGTATGACTATAGGCAAAAGAGTCTTAAAGTAAAAATAAATATATATTTTTTAATTTCTGTATCATGCACTCTGCTAGATGCTTCAAAATAATTTTAAAAATCTCATTAGCAGAAATAAAGGTTAGAATCAAATTACAGAAATGACTAATCATTGAGGAGAGAGTCAACTTAATATATGAGAAAGGAAACATG